AAAAAAAAAAAAGTTGTGTGCTAGTCTTGTTGTACAGCCCCGGAGCATGGTCCCATTAGCAAAGAGGATTCAATTTGGATTAAGCTCCTGAATCTGGACATGTTTCAAGCAGAGATGTAGAAAAGCTGTCCAATCTCGAATTTCTGCACTTTTCCAAAAACACGTCTAGATTCAAGCCTTCAATCCGATCCTGTTTTGCTAGTACGACCTCGCCCCCAGAATGAACTTTGTCCAAAGCAACTTGAGGCTTGATCATTTCGACGGGGCTGCCCCCCCTGTATTATTGTAAGGGAGGCAGGGGGCGGTTTACGGCAGATTGCGTAATCCAGCCTCAGTGGGGCACTGGGCCGCCAGCAGTACAAAAAAAAAAAAAAAAAAAAAAAAAAAAAAAAAAAAAAAAAAAAAAAAAAAAAAAAAAAAAAGTGTACACTGACTAATCTAAAATAATGCACCTCTGTCTGCCATTTGAAAGTGTTGAAGCCAACAAAACATAAAAGAATTCCCCTTTGACAGAAGGGATTCTCCAGCAGACTGTCAGGACTTAGGAGTACACCAGATTTCCCTGAAGGCGTACACCGGATTTATCAATTCTGTTTCTCGGTCTTCCCTGAGCGGTTGGTCTTTCCCTTTCGCCAGTCTGCCTGCATGCAGTGCATACTAGTGTACTTGAGATCTGAGAGCATCTGGCATTTGAGGTGGGAGATATTCGTAATACAATGCTAATACTCTATTAATCTCTTGTCCCTCCAACCACATATTTTAATATTCCTTCTCCTCCAGGGTACCCAGAGCATCAAGGCTCTGGAAACCTGATCAGGCCTGGACGTACAGCCTTGGTACTACCTCCTTTGAGAGGAGTAACCAGAGTACTAACCACTAGTAACCTGAGTTACCTGAGTAACCAGAGTAACCAGAGTAACCAGAGTAATCTGAGTAACCTGAGTTACCAGAGTAACCAGAGTAACCAGAGTTCAAAGGAGTAACCAGAGTAACCAGAGTACTAACCAGAGTAACCAGAGTAACCAGAGTTCAAAGGAGTAACCAGAG